GTGTGTGTGTGTGTGTGTGTGTGTGTGTGTGTGTGTGTGTGTGTGTGTGTGTTTAGCTGCGTCTGTGGTATAATAGTCAGGCTTTTCGGTTCCAACACTAGGAAGATTATATCATGTAGACCTTCATAATATATTTCATCAAATACATCGTGTAGTGGGATAATAATGCAACTCAGCCTGGGTTGATCCTGACAGGAAGGTTCCAAGCAGTCTGCCAGTGGCGTCGGAGGCCTAGTGGTTAGGATATGGGACTTGTAATTGGGAGGTTGCGGGTTCGGAGTTTCGAGCCGCGGGCCCGACGTTGTGTTCTTGGGAAAGGTACTTTACACGAATTTTCCCCTCTTCACCCATGTGAAAATGGGTACCCAGCTATAGACAGTGAAAGATCTTGTCAGTCTGTTATTGTTTGAGCGCTTAACCAGCTGCTTGAACTCTATGCTTCCCGGGAAGCTGAGAATATTTCTGAGTGTTCTATGGTCTGCTGGGGTAATAATATAGTGTAAAGCGCAGCATAGAGCTTGCTTTCGAGTGGGGATATGCGCTATACAAATGCTATTTATTATTATTATTATTATTATTACTATTATTATTACTATTAATACTATTATTATTATTATTATTAATACATTATGAATACACCTACTCAAGCGACCACCTGCACAAGACAGCCACCGGTGCAAACGGAGACTGCCAAGTCACCCCTATATGTGTGTGTTAGGCGAGACGCATTTTGTGGATCCATGGAATCCGCAACAATCCGTCGATTGCTGCGCATTCTGAATATGACACTCATCTCGTTAATTTTAACTCTCGCATAGTCGATCTTACCCTTACAACAATCTACATGTAGTTGGTACCAGATTAGCGTCCTTCAATCATAGTGTTGACTTTGCACCAGGGTTAAGGGTTACCAAATAATTTTCTGACAAGGGGTCAGATTTGTGATCGTTAGTGCCTGCTCCAGGAAAAACAGCTGTTTGAAGGAGAAATTAATTTAGATTTTAATATCTAGGTAAGTTATTTAGTCATTTGTATGACGTTAACTTCCGGTTGATGATGATGATAATAATAATAATAATAATAATAATAATAATAATATTAAAGAAGAAGAAAAAGGAGAAGGAGAAGGAGAAGGAGAAGGAGAAGGAGAAGCAGGTCGGGCATAGCGCATCCCGCTCGGCGGCAAGCTCTCTGCGCTTTGCATTATAATAACATTATTACCCCAACAGACCATAGAACACTCAGAAACATTCTCAGATTCCCGGGAAGCATACAGAGCAAGCAGCTGATTAAGCACGCAAACACTAACAGACTGACAAGACCTTCCGCTGTGTATAACCAGGTTTCCCATTCCCGCCCAGTCAAGTGAGGAAAATTCGTGACTAGCGCCTTTCCCAAGGACACAACGTCAGGCCCCTGACGGGGATTCGAACCCACGACCTTACGGTTGTGAGTCCGAGAGCCTAACCACTTGGCCACCAACACATAAAGCGTATTGGTAAAGGAAGCGGCAACGCGGAATAATAATCATCTCTCCCACAGTATGGAGGATCGGCGCTTACATGACTTAGCTGTGTTGCAAGTGCCGTAATACTCATTCTAACGAAAGTCGAAACAAACTGAAGGGGGAATTCCCCGTTTGTCAGGCGCCTCTTGTACGTCACATACTCTGCTGTATATAATCGAAATTGTCTAAGACGGCCACACATTGTTGGGGAAGAATATTGACCGTCTTAGACGTCTTACACAGTGTCCTTTTAATGCACAAAATACGCAAAGGGAGGAATTAGGAAGTGGCCGTTTGTAAAGATGATTGTCTTATGCAGGTGGCCAAATTAGAGCAGGTTCAGCTGTATATTATATATTTCATTTTTTTCTGAACGTTCTTTGCGTTCTATCTAGCTACTCTGTTGGGCTTATCTGTCGCCTGTCTAGAAATCAATCCTAAAACTCACACCAAAGATTCTCAAATCGTTGCTCACACTGTGGGTCCTGCCTTCAGAACTACCTTCTTGAGTCTAATCGGCATAAAAACCTGTAGTAAAGGAGAATACAAGTATATTTATTGGTTTAGATTTTTTACTAGTGTAAAAAAAAAAAAACTACTCGGGTAGATGTATGTCTTTCTGAAGAGGAGAGAGACTCAAAATGAAAAGCCGTATACAAATATGAGGCTTTGTGGTGAAATCAGGCGCTCGTCATTATTGCCCATATCTTCATTTCTTTTCTCGCTTTACACCTTTTTATGTCTTTTTAAAACCACGTCTTTGTGTGGATTCTAAAGAAAAACGTTGATTTAAAGCACACACAAAAATGTACATTTCCAGTATCCAAGGACTCTCAGCTATTGAAGCCACCAGATTTTGGCGGCCCTTTTCTCGCTAATTTTATCTTTGATACCAGAGGACCCCTACTTCCTTGAAACGAAAACGTCTCGACTTTTGTTACGACATATGATATTTTTTCCATCAAAAGCAAGACAATTAATGAAAAAGCTTTACCAACATCTCCACAGCCCAAACATTGACGAGCGCCTGATTCCAACGCGTCGTGTCACAAGAGTATCTCATGGGAGGGGGCGTTACACAAGAAAGGCTGTTGTTGCAGCTATTTTTGTTAATGTTTCTGTTGCTGTTGTTGTTTTTGTTGTCGTTACTTTTATTATTGTTGTTTTTTCGTTGTTGTAACTGTTTTTGTTGTTGCTGTTATTGTCATTGTTGTTGTTGCTGCTGTTGTTATTGTTGTTGCTGATGCAACTGCTGCTGTTGCTTTTGTTGTTGTTGTTGCTGTTATTGTTGTCGCTATAGTTTTTTCTACTGTTGCTATTATTGTTGTTGCTCCTGTTGTTGTTGCTTTTATTGTTATTACCGTCTTGTTGTTATTGTTGTTGCTGTTGTGTCTGTCGTTGTTGTTGCTGTTGCTGCTATTGTTGTTGTTGCTGTAGCCGTTGTTATTGTTGATGTTGTTGGTGCTTTTTGTTGCTTCTCCTGTTGTTGTCACTGTTATTGTTATTTTCTTGTTGTTTCTGTTGTTGTTGTTGTTGTTGTTGTTGTTGTTGTTGTTGTTGTTGTTGTTGTTGTTGTTGTTGTTGTTGTTGTTGTTGTTGTTGCTGTACCCCGTTGTTATTGTTGATGTTGTTGTTACTTTTATTGTTATTTTCTTCTTCTTGTTGTTTAAAGAAAG